TTGGACCTTTTTTTTTTTTTTGAGCTGGAGTCTCACTCTGTCACCCAGGCTGGAGTGCAGTGGTACGCTCACGGCCACCCCAGCATCGACCTGTTGGGCTCCGGTGATTCTTCCACTGCAGCTTTCCAAGTAGCCAGAACTACAGGCCCGTACTACTGCGCCCAGCTAATTTTTGATTTATTGTAGAGACAAGACCTCACCAAGTTGGCCGGGCTGGTCTTGAACCCATAGGCTCAGGCAATCCACTTGTCTCGGGCCTCCCAAAGTGCTGGGATTAAAGGCTGGGTCATCGAGCCTGGCTGGATTTTTTTGTTTTTAATCAGCTTTATTGAGGTATGTTCACACCACAAAATTTACTCTTCTAGAGTGTAGAATTCAATGATTTTTAGCATATTCACAGTTATACAACCATCATCACTATCCAACTTCAGGACATTTTTTCACTCCAAAAAAAGAAGTTCCATGACTGTAACTATGACTCCTACTTTGAAATATTTTTTATTGGCTGGGCACAGTGGCTCAGTCTGTAATCCCAGCACCTTGGGAGGTTGAGGCGAGAGGATTGACTGACCCCAGGGGTTCGAGACGGCCTTGGCAACTTGGTGAGACCTCGTCTCTACAATAAATCAGGAAAACTAGCCGGGCGTGGTGGCATGTGTCTGTAGTTTTGATAAATACTACAACACGGATGAACTTCAAAAGTATTATGTTACTTGAGGAAAGGAAGACACAAAATTATGTACATTGTATGAATTCATTTATATGAAATTTCTAGAAAAGTCAAAACTATAAAAACAGGAAGATCAGTGGTTACCTAAAACTATAGATCAGAATGGGAAATGACCTTGTAAATGTAAAAGTTCAAGAGAACTTTTAGGGTGATAAAAAGTGTTCTAAAAATTAATTATGGTGATGGCTGCACAACTGTATAAGTTTACTAAAAATCACACACCTGTACATTTGCAATTGTAGGATATGTAAATTATATCTCAATAAAGCTGTTGTAAATAAAAAGTCAGCCAGGTGTGGTGGCTCACACCTGTAATTACTTTGGGAGGCAGAGGCAAGAGGACTGCCTGAGTCCACAGGTTCGGGACCAGCCAGGCAACATAGCGAGACCTTGTCACTACAATAAATCAAAAAATTAGCCGGGCATGGTGGTACATGCCTGTAGTTCCAGCTACTCGGAAAGGTTGAGGCAGAAGGATTGCCTGAGCCTAGCAGGTCAAGGCTGCGGTGGCCGTGAGTGTGCCACTGCACTCCAGTCTGGGCGATGGAGGGAGACTCAACTCAAAAATAAATAAATAAATAAATAAATAGTTTAGGTTCCAAGTAGTTTTCACTACACACTTCTTCGTTGGGGTTACAAATTTTGTAAAGAAGGGAGAACAAGAAGGGCGTGGAAGAGAAGTGAGAAAAGAATTCTGAAAGAAGCTTTGAGGGGCTGAATATGGCAGTACTAAAGTTTGAAACGTCCCTACTGCTGGAAAAACAGACCAGGACTTAAAAAGGAGAAGGTCCAGTCCTAGAAAAAGACCCATGGCCAATCCACCCACACTAAGCCCAGGGGTAACTGTCCCTCCTTTATAACTAGCCCACTCATTAGGCTGTCTCAGGAGCACATTTTCCACTCCAGGGCTGCCCTTTATTTCTGTGTTCCATGGAATCACTCAAATTTGATTTCACTAACATGGTTTGTGGAAAGAGGAGAAAAGAAGAAACAAGATAATGTTTCCTAGATTTTACATTCCCTGGAATGTTGCTTCAGAAACATCTCCTGAAAGGATTGTAGAATAGGTCTAAGAGTATTTTTTTCTATAAAGATTTTTCCTTAAGTATGAGAAATCTGTGGACTTTATGCTATTTCCCATGCCTGCAAGAATGGAGGAAAGATAATGGACTATGTTTTTAACTAAAATATTTGAGATATTTAATAACTGAAACTCTTATTACATAAGCAAAACACCTGATCCCTAAGAAATTTATCTGTAGAAGGGAGAGTTAACAGTGTAAATGACAAAGCCTCCTGAATCTTTTGTGTCAACCTGAGCCTTTGCGTGTGTTTCTCTCTGGAGCTCATGGCGCTGCACATAACTGAGAGACTTCTTTTGCTGTGGGTTATAGAAGAACGATGGAGAATAATTCTTCAGAAGTGAGACTTTTTCCTAATTTCATACATTATTTGCCACGAGGTTTCTTTTCTTTTTTTTAGATTCAGGGGGTACAAGTGCATGTTTGTTACATTCCTCAGATAGTGAACACTAAACTCAAGAGGTAACTTCTGAACCCTAGTCCCCCTCCCTACCTTCCCCCCTTTAGTGTCCCTAGCATCTATTATTTCCATTGTCATGGCAATTTAGTTCCCATGTATAAGTGAGAACATGCAATGTTTGGTTTTCTATTTCTGAATTAATCACTTAGGATAATGTTCATTAGCTCCATCCATGTTGCTGCAAAGGACAAGACGGTTCTTTTTCATGGCCGCATAGTATTACATAGCTTTTCTTTCTTTTTGGGGGGGGTGGGGAAGAGATGGGATCTCACTATGTTGACCAGGCTAGTCTCGAACTCCAGGGCTTAAGTGATCCTCCCACCTCGGCCTCCCCGAGTGCTGGGATTATAGGTGTTAGCCACTACATCCACCACAAGTGTCTTTTTAAGGTGAAAACTGATCATAATTGTCTTATCTGCAACAGTTTACAGTGGATATAGAGATGCTGTACACATGGATATTCACTTAGTCAATTCTTAATAAATGATAAAAGTACAAAGTAAATATGCCTCCTGTTAAGGTACAATTTGGGATTAGGGAGAAAAAAATACAGCCAAAAAGTTAAGAGATGAAGTCTACTACCAGATGCTACAGAGGGGACTTAAAAATCCTGCAATGGAGTCCTGTAAAG